CAGCTCAGTGGGCTGTCTGGAGAGTATCAGCGTTCAAAGGGAAACTGGGATTGTTTGTTCAAAATTTCTTGAAATGAGAGAACAGCATCCATTATCGTTTCCCAGAGATGGGTATTGTTTTATCACCACCCATACCAAATGCAGGCACGGAGCTGTGTTTACAGTACGTGCAGTGGCTCAGATAGGCTGAGCTGTTGCAATCCTGTTGCAATCCTGCACAGCAGCACAGAAAGTTAATGCTAGCATGCTGCTCCCACGCCTGCCCCTTTCCAGGCTTTACATTAACTCAGCGGCACCCTATCAGGGCAAGGTGAAATGCTGCAGCTTTATTTACCCAACAGAAAGACCTGAGAAGGGCCTTTGTTTGACTGAAATGCTGACAGATTTGCTGCCGACTGTGGCAAAGGTGTGTAAAAAGCCATGTAAAAAAATGAATACAAATGAAATGGTGAGATGCACTTGTGGGATTTCCAGCACTAGACTGATTATTCTCTTGGAGCCAAAACCTCTGCAGAGGTAGATCAGACTAGCTCCGCTGACTTCAGGACGGCTGCAGTACCATTCGCTAAGCCAAGGATCTGCCCTCTGGTTTGTTAAAACAGAATTTTTATCATTATCATTTAATGTTTCTCAAATCGGGGTATACAGCAAACTTCTAGACCAGTGGTACTCAAACTTTTTTTTATACCAGGACCTATCTGTAAACATTTGTAAACCCAGTAAATAGTTTAAGTACAAAATAGCCCCCTGCCCCTGCCAGACCCACTCACTCCCAAACCCCAGCCCTGATGGTGCCTCTCACTCCCAACCCACTGCTCCCCACCCCCAGGTCTCAGCCCCCCAGTGTGTGGGACAAGGGGTGGTGTGTGAGGAAGGGAGGTATGTTTGGAGTTTGGGGGGGGGGCACATGCCCCCCAAGATTTGTGCACCCACAGCAGGCCTGGGGCTGCAGCCTGGCTGGACCGGCATAGGCAGAAGCCACCTCTGAGGCCCAGCGGGCAGGACCCAGTGTGGGAGGGCGGACCGGGACAGGGAGACTTGTTGCCCACCACCACACCCCACCTCCCCTTCAGGGTAGAGCCACAGCCTGAGAGGAAGCGGCGGTGGTGGCTGGCACATGGTGGGGAGCTGCAGGAGCTGCTCTCCACGCTTCCTGGCTGCCACATGCATGGGGAAGCCCGTGGTTTCCCATGTTTTTCTTCTTTAAAAGAGAATCCATTTTTAAAGTTTGTTGAGCCATTCTTTAAAGTTTGCTCGCAACCCTTTCATATATTTTTGTCACCCACTTCTGTGTCGCAACCCATGGGTTGAGAAACGCTGTTCTAGATAGCATGAGAGAGAGAAGGAATGGGAAAGCAGGTAGGAGCAGAGAAATATGGAGAGGAAAAGGGAGAAAAAGAAAAAACCTGAATTACCTCACAATGTTTCTTAAGCTATTGGAGAAGGTACAGTGAAGGTGAAGCCATGTAGAGCACAGGGTAGCAACCTTTTTGCCACTGCAGGCTGCTGCTTGCAACCCAGCCCTTGTCACGGGAAAACCCCTGTGCTCCTACAGAAATCAGCAGAAGCTACAAAGGGAAAAAGGCAGGTGCTAGGACACAGGGGACACCTCCTCTGCTGCCTTGGCTGGAGCATACTGCCGATTCCCTGAGCTGCCGCCAGGCTGGATTCAGTCACTTCATGGGCTGGATCCAACCTGCGGGGCACAGGTTGCCAAACCCCGACCTAGAAAATTACCTTTTCTTTAATTGCCCATAAAAAAGAAAGCAGAGAGATACACAGCAGCATAGCAAAATGAAAAAGGCACACATAATCAAAAAAAAAAAGGCAGAAGAAAAAAGCATCAAATAGCAGGGTCCACTGTAAAAACTGAAGGAAATATGCAGCTCTGAAAATCCTGCAGTCCAAAAGGAGTTGCTGTGTTTCACAAGGCGGCTTGCTCCTAAGGCACAGGACTAGGCATCAAGGTTCTTGAATTGTTTTCCCAGTTGCCAAGAGACTGTCTGTGAGGCCTCAGTCAGGATCTAACTTCTCTGTGCCTCAGTTTCTCCCTCTGTGAAACTAAGATTATATCCACCGATGCATCTCGAGCAGGTCCAAGGAGGTGATCCTCCCCCTCTATGCGGCACTGGTCAGGCCGCAGCTGGAGTACTGCATCCAGTTCTGGGCGCCGCACTTCAGGAGGGATGTGGACAACATGGAGAAGGTCCAGAGGAGGCCGCTCGCATGATCAGGGGGCAGCAGGGCAGGCCCTACGAGGAGAGACTAAGGGACCTGAACCTGTTCAGCCTCCACAAGAGAAGGCTGAGGGGGGATCTAGTGGCCTGTTACAAACTAGTCAGAGGGGACCAGCAGGCATTGGGGGAGTCCCAGTTCCCCCGAGCACTCCCAGGAGTGACTAGAAATAAAGGTCGCAAGCTGGCAGAGGGTCGATTCAAACTAGATATCAGGAAGTGCTACTTCACCGTCAGGGCGGCTAGGATCTGGAAACAACTTCCAAGAGAAGTGGTGCTGGCTCCTACCCTGGCGGTCTTTAAGAGGAGGCTGGATGAACACCTTGCTGGGGTCATTTGACCCCAGTACTTTTTCCTGCCATGGACTTGATGATCTGCTCAGGTCTCTTCCGACCCTACTAACTATGAAACTATGAAACTCATGTCAGGACTTCTGTGAGAAGAAACTCACTAACACCTCCAAAGAAGCCTGAGATCCTCTACTGGCAGATGCTATACAATGGCAAGAGATTACTATTTTGCCACATGAATTAGTACTATTAAAAAAGCTCAGAACAATTACATTGCCCATAGCAGCAGGAAAATACCTGAATACAACATTATCAATAAGGGACTAGAAACTGAAAAGGAGATTGGTCTGATATCCAGTGTGCTGTACTCAGTCCTGAATTAACAGCAAAAAAAGCACTGCAAGACAGATAGACAAATATACATATCAGTGCTCAATACCCTGCAATCCACTGCAACTACAAATGACTGTTCTGTGCCTGTGTGTAGTTCAAGTGTGGAATTGATTGCCACAAGATATTGCAGAAGTTGACAGTTTAACCAGATTCAAAAAGAGATTGGTCAAATTCTTGGAGGAAAGTTGCATCAGTAGCTATTGAACATGGGAGTTAGGGGTATAGGCTCTGAATGAGAACTTTCTGTTCCTTAAATACTAGAGGCTGCAAGTGGGACAGGAACAGGGGGGAAAACCCTAGTCATATTTGTTCACTCTCCCTTTCAGCATCCACTCCTTGCCACAGTGACACAGGATACTGAGACATGGACCTGTGGTTTGACCCAATACATGGCAGCTCCCATCTGCCATCGATAAACTAAGCATCCAATTCTCTTGTAGTATAAAGCCATGGTTCTCAGGCTTCTTCAAATCTGAACTTCCATATCTTCCCTCTGGCAATTTGAGTTAATTCTAAGGCATTTCAATGTGAATGCTACCTAACTCTTATATCAGTGTCATCAGTTGATTACAAAGTGTCTTACAAAAGAGGACTGCAACATAACGCCCATTTTACAGATGGTAAAACTGAGGCAGTAAAAAGTTACCTGGTCATGGTCCTCTATTAGGCAAGTGGCAAAACCAGAAATAGGACCCAGGTGTCCTGCATCCTTGTCCACTACTCTATCTTCATTTCCACTAATCCACTTAGCTGATGCAGGTATTTTGAGGGGAAAGAAGGGAAAGGAGTAAATTGCTTGAGCTGGGATACTTTATTCATTAATATCACCATAGTACAGGTACCTAGGTAAGCAGAGCTTCTGCCTGGCCTACTAAATTTCTAAACCTGCCCTGAAAAGCTAGATACATATTCCAACATCCCCCTCAATGCTACAGACGTAGATGCTTTGTACATCAATGCAATAAATAAGAAACTATTATTATTATTGTCATTAGTCCTGGCTGCAGTTGTTGCTGTCAATGAACTGACCTTGGATCTTTGACCTAGATGCTTACTTGAAGCACCTGGCAATAAGCTGTAAACATCCACACCCTGAACATTTATGCCTGAACTTGCTAACTTTCCAACCACACACCTTTCCCTATACTGATTGCTAGGGAAAACCAGCAACACAACATGTACCCAGGTGGAACAAGGTTTGGTCCTATCATTAGTTCTTACCACATGCATGTTTACTCTCTCTTACATGACTTACCTGTGTTCCTGTCCACCAATTCCTGGCTGAAACTGAAGTGCTAGCAAGATATGTACACATTTCAGGTAGGTCCCAGATCTCCAGATGCAGCACAGCCTTTTTCAGAATGACTCTTTTTACTTATGATCCCTAAAATAAAATACAGCTGAATTTAAATTAGTAGCCATCCCAGCCTCAAACCACTGCACTACTAGCATGGACCTTGTACCCTAAAGTTTCCTTGATCTCATCATTTTGTTCTTAATGTAAGACATTTTCAGGGCATTTTATAAATTTGGTATATTCCCAAAGGACTGGGGAAACAACATAAACGGACTAATGCAGCTGCTAAATGCATGGCCACTGGCCAGTTGTTCACGCTCCTAATGTAAACTACCTCTTCTCTTCTGGCATATATTTTGTACCTACCCAGAAGATCCCCAGAAGATACCAATACTGACTATCTAGTTTTCTCCACTTCTGCTTTTTATGCCAAATATCCTCCTATCCAGTTCATGATCTTTTTCTTTACCTGTTCAACAACCCTTTCCTTTTCTGTGAACTGACACCAACACAAGGTTAGTCATTCAGACTGAAGTTTTCTGTATGTATTAATGGGTAGCCACCCTGCAAGGCTCTCTACAGCACTCTACCAGCATGCCCCATCTTCAGGGGCAACCTTTAAGTCATACTCTCTCTGTCCAGTGGTTTCTCTGCTGATTGTAAAGAACATTGCCAGCTATGATTTAAGTTCTCTGTGGTGTGGGCATCAAACCCATAGGACCAGATTAACGCTGCCAAGTGAATTCAAATGAGCCACTTCACAACTCTCAGTAGTGACCTTCAACAACAAAATCTTAGTCCAAATTAGCTCCAAACCTTAATACAAACCCTGAGCTCTGCTGCCCTTTACACTTGTGCTTTTCTGGACTCACATAGACTCGCTTCCTTTCCTGCTCTTGCTACAGACTCTCCTACCTTCTGGGTTGCCAGGAGCCTTGCTGTTCTAGCAGCTGCTGAGATAGTATGAAGTGTCAACTTTAACAACATGCCAAATTATTTATTAATTAAAAAACAAGCATTCTGGATCTTTCTGGGCCAACAACCAAATGACTAGGTTATCTTATCAGGGATTAAGTGCTTATCTTAGCTAATATAAAGCTTTCAGTCATAAGAGGTAAATAAAACCAATAGATTTTGTTGTAACTACCTATGGAGGAGAGGGAACTAGTAAAATACGCATTTATGGAAATGCTAATCAGCTGTGCCTTGAACTGCAGTTGTGAACCGCAGAGCTCCACAATGGAAGTTGAACTCGGTTAAGCCCAAATGAACATAAGTTTCCAGAGCTGTTCTTTTACTTTGAGTATGTTAGACAGCTTTCAAGGGCGATCAGCTGCTCCCTGGCGTGCGCTGTTTGTACATTTCTATTTGTATGTTTTAACTAATACATTTTTGTTTGTGCCGCATGCCCACTATGCTGGAAACAGCCTTCTGCTTCCCATATGCCGCTTGTCCTCTCTATTTTACCTTTAAACCCACGTCATGCTCTGGACTCCCATTGTGGATTAACTGCTATTCTGCCAGCCTGGTTTGTGTGTCCTGGATCTATCCAATTGTAAGCTCCACAGTACAGGGACTTTGTCCAACTGCAGGTTTCACAGAGTCTTGTGCGCGCCTTGGATGCTCCAGACGCACAAAAGCCATGACATTCAGAATTGCAACACACTAAAATTGTGGAAAGTTAGGATCTTGGGTTTTTGTTCAGATCCATCTCTAGTAATGAACAACAGTTGTCAGTAAAACCAGACCACCAACAAAGAAGCATTGTATAGTAACTACAGCTGGTTGAATAACAACAGTAATAATAAATAAATACTCGCACTTAATCAAGCAATCAACAAAATTCCTCCCCTGCATCTACTGTGATTATCCCATCATCTATACAGCAAGTGGAGAATGGGAAAATTAAAGTAATAAGGAAAAATAAATTAACTATTTGTGATCAACTCTAGAAATAAGCACATGAAATCTTTTAAGTTTGCTAATTATACCGGCCTCAAATTACAAAGCCAGCATACTTCAAAAACATTGAAACAACATTGAGGACAAATGTTGTTTTCACTTGTTCTTCACAGTGGATACGCGTTCCCATGCATTGAGAGGCTTTTCCCCATGCTCATTACTTTTAGTACCTCCAATGGGAGGTATTAAACAAATGTGCGTTAGGCTGCCTCAATGAGCAGCAACGAATGTGCATGGTTTTTAAATGATGCTTAATGTGCAGTAACCTATTTTACCGTGCATTCATGTAATAGCATTTTTTTTATGTGATGCTTTAATGCACAGTAAAATAGGCTACTGCACATTAAAGTGCACGTGTAGACGTGCCCAGTATGGTCTATGTCTGTCACCTCCCGAGAATGGGTGCCTCATATTAAGCCCAGGAGTAACTTAACAGGTCTTGCAAAACCTCCTAAACTTTGGCCCAGTCCCATCATTCACAACCATGTCTTTCTCACTTATTCATTTTCCTACATTCCACAAACTCAACATTTCAAAGTAAAGCAGAGATTAATTCAAATGCGGGGAAGCACAGGCTAAGGAGAATGTTGTAAGGAAAGATTAAAAGGACTAAATATGTGCAGATTGGCCATGCGATGACTAATTGAGAGTGGAGGAGATGGATATGATATTCATCTTCATGATATTCATGTTCAAGGAACAATTCTGCTGAGCCTTTTTCAAATGCACACAAAAAGGCCAGCCCAGGACTAGAGAAGACCTGACTTCAGCTACTAGCTGCGGCTTTTCTCACACCTCAAGTTACAAAGTGCTGCAGACAAAGCACTGACCAGACAGGAGCATCTCGTGCTACTCTACAATAACCCATTTAAAAACTAATGAGAGCCTGAGGTGATCCAGGGTTTCCCCATTTTACATCTTCTGAAGGATGATGTAAATGAAAAGGGTCTCAAGTGGGAAGGCAAGAAACAAGTTAGAAATGACAGTAGCATTCTCAACACCCCTAGAGTAAAATTGAGAAAGTTCTGTGAGAAAGGAGAGAGAGAGAGATTCTGAAACACAGCTAAAATAAGAAACCTAAATTAAAATAGATACCGTCTTTCCAAGAGTATTGTTTCCCTCACAGCCAGAGTTGAAACTACCATTTATGTTTTTTCAAGCGGTCAACAAAATAAGCCCAGAGCTCAGGAGGTGGCTGGCAAATGTTGATTAAATCATACTGGATTTCAACCAAATTCTAAATATTTAAACCTCTGTTTTATATTTAACTTCTCAAAGTGCCTGACTCCTGCTGCATGTGGGGCTGAGAAAAAAAAGGCCCTTACTGTAAGAAGGAAAACACAGTAACAACCCATTTGAAGACCAAAGAAGACCTGAAGACCAAATAC